CTAAATTCATCAACAACTTGACGAAAAAGTTGGCCTAATTACGGCTCCCATATATGGGTAACTCCTGTAGATGTCACTAATCAATGTACTAGGTTGTGCGGAAGTATCTGCTGAGTATCCACTGTAGTCCAAATTTCAATCAAGATTTCCTGGAAGTCATCGAAATATTTACATAGAAATGCTGTAGAAGGACATTACGCTCTTGTATAGGCATAAAAAACCAAGATAATTCATGATATCACAATCGGTTGACCGAGACGAGGGTCATTCTCGACTTTTATGTCCAGGACAATAAAGCGTTAGGCCGAGCTGCCGAGTTGTGCCTAGAACCGCTTAGAAGGGATTCCAAGATTAATTCCTTGACATAAATCTCTGTAGGTTTAAGCAGAAGAGTGGTCGGATTCGGGAGACGGGCAGTAGGAACGGTTTTGAGTAATCGGTTCGCCTCACGCGACTGTCGCAAACTTCGTTTCGCCGCTATTACGGCTCTAGCGTTCTCCATACAGCTTGAGCACTAAGCGATTATTACTTTTGGCATGATTCTTCTGTTAGTTCTTTTGCTCCTGTATTTCCTACTTGCTGCTGCATTCTACCACATTCCTTCGCGCGCGGCGTCCCTCTTGCCGCGACGCGACGATTTCGTTCCATCTGCACCACACCCGCCGGATTCGAACTCGTAAAGAAGTGCATGTTGAATAAATGAAGATCAGTAAATACATAGTCAGGAAAACAAGAAAGAGGTTATTAGACATGCGCATACGCATGGGTAGTGACATCACAGAGAAGCTTCATGAAGGTTTCCAGAAAATCTTAAAAGAAATCTAGGCAACTGGAAAATTTTTGGCAGATACTTTCCATACAACATAATAGTGGAGAAGAATGACCAATGCTTGTTGCTGACCTTCGATTTTTTTTGCTGTGGCTGTAATTTCTTAACGGAGCAAGACCTGATAAGAGGAAATACCTAAAGATTGGTAATAAAACCCATGTTCTTCTGGCGGGGTGTGGTGCAGTAGGATCGAAATTGTCGCGTCCAGGCGAAAGGGACACCGCGCGCGAAGGACTGTAGCAGAATGCAGAAGGGTGTATGACATACAGGAATAGAAAAACTAACAGTAGAACCATGCCTAAAATAATGATCGCATAAGACGCTAGAACTGAAATAACGGAGAAGCGAATGGTCCGCAACAGCCGCGTGCGGTGAACCGATTACCCAAATTCGATCCTACTGCCCGTCTCCCTTTCTGTCGGAATGCTAAAAAGTAGGCCACGCGACAACAGTTGCTAAGAACATACCAAAGACAAGCGTCACTCCTCATCTCAGTGAGTCCTCTTGCTCATTCATTTTCATTTTCTACATTTGTCTCATGACCTCTGATCGGAGTAGTTACGCGATTCAACTTTACTGCTGATACCTAATCAAATCTTTGTTTTTCTCTACGGTTTTACATGAAATTCTGCATATTTTCGATTGTAATTGCCTGTTTTCGGAGCTTCTTCAAGTCGCCTGTTTTAAGCGACTCAAAGACAAAGTTTTGAGGTAGGGATAGAAAAATAACAAAAATAAATAGACGGCGAGCCCTAGACCTGTTAAGCGCGTCTGTCGAATCATCATCATCTCTTCTCTACACGTATATAACATTATTATTCTTGACTTAATGATCGGTTTTAAACTAAACAGTAACCAGATGGTGATAAGAGTAACGATAAGTTGTAGGAGAAGCAGAATTCTCGAGGGCGTGTAGGCATCCTCCCCCTGGTGCGCTAGAAGTGTTACTTGTTCGAAACTATCGTCTTTGTAAGCACATTGGTGAACTCGGTGAACCTTGGGGCTTACTTGGAAGATCTGTTTTAGTGTAGTTAATTATATTATGAATAAATTTATGTGTGTAATAATTTATATCCAGTTATTTTATTGTTTGTTGTTGCTGTCGTTGGCATTTTACCAATTACCAGTTGAGCTACGCACGCTAATGCGTGCACCACATGCCCACTACCGCTTACCTGCGACTTGTTAGAGGACCAATATGAACAGTATCGGCTGACTTCCCATTTCATAAATGTTACCTCACCGCGCTCACGTGTCATTCACACTCTTCGTCGTGCCTACTTGACTTTCGGAAGGACGCACAAAGGGGCATACAAACATACCCACAAAATTACCGCTTTATATATAGAAACAGTCGGACCGCCCGGCTAACGCTGGACTTTCCTCCTTCTTTAGGTTCTAGTTATCGGCAACCGCCCCCCCCCCCCCCCCCCCCCCCCCCCCCCCCCCCCCCCCNCCCCCCCCCCCCCCCCCCCCCCCCTCCCAATTTTTGGAACGAATGATGCTTTCCTGAACACGAAATCCAACACACTTTACATAACTTTGACACAGAACCCAAAAAGAGGGGAGCTTGCATAAACAGAGCAGCACCAGTGGTATTTAGGGTGTGCCGATGCTTACGCCTACGATTAAAAGTGTCAATCGGTCGCTCTTCATCTTGAATATTATGAAACATCAAAGGTTTAACTGATAGGCAACCAAATAATTGAGTAATGCTCACAAATGTTCTCAAGTGATAGTAACACCATTATCAGGTGTTGTTATCACTAGACCTTCTTTCCTACACGAGCACATCATTAGTTGAGAATCCCAAATTATTGGCGGTCGGAAGAGCTTTGTCATAAATGATAACAAAACATAAAGTAACCTTGATCTTCCACCGAGTTGCAAACCTTGCTGGGTAGCGGTCGTAATCTATATAATAGTCGAAATCATAAATACGTAAATACCCGAGGAGGTAAATTCGGTCGGTAAATACTCTTATCAGTCGTGATCAGCTGTTATCAGTTTCTGTTCCTATCATCGGTCGTCTACGATCCCGCAATACCCCACATCACATGCCAAACTGTCAAAGTTCCACTATTAATGACAATATTATAGAGACTCTACGCTTTCGAGGATTTTCATTAGCCATTATCAGTTTTATCAGCTCCTGACATGGCACCAACCGTTCTCGATCCCGTCACCGAGTACCTACGGTCCTGTCACATCTTACATACCCTATTAAAATTCCCAGATTCCATCATTAACAGAATATGCGTCACAAATTTAGTGGCTCTCACCTTCTATGGCTTCTTGTCGGTCCCTATCACTCGTTATCATTCCCTGTCACCGATCATTAACGATCCCTTCACAGCCTACACCACCTGCCAAAGTGCCAAGGCTTCACCGCTAATACAAGGGAGTTACGGACCCTGTGTCTTTTGCTTTTTAAGGCTCCTTATCTGTTTCTATTGATCGCTATCACTTCCTATCACTTACCATCGCTGTTCTCATCGTGGCGCCTATCTCCCTTTCAAATTCGAATGCTTTAGCTACAATGGGACGGGAGTTATGAATTTCAGGTTGGACAAATACACACATACTCACACACTCACACACACACACACACACAAACACACCAACAGAACCAACAGACACACTTAGCCGATTACATAAGTAGGATTGTTAGGTTTTGCTGGAAATTTTGTGAGTAGGCAGCCATTTCCAATAACACTTTTTCCGTACACCTACATATGTCCTGTAATTATACCTTTTAGTCAGGAAATCGTCATTCCGGAAAAAAGTAGTTATCAGCCGTTAGAGAGAATTTTATTCCATTTCAGCATGGTTCGTCATTTTGAACCTCGTCATTGTAAGTGTGGCAATAATGCTGGTAACAGTATTCCCAAAAATCCTGCAATTCCTCGAATGGATATGCCGGTAATTTCGTTCAGCCTTAATCCTCTTACACCCTTGAGGACAGTCTTGAGGACAGTAAGTGTCACGAAGTCCTTATATTTCAAAATCCAATTACACAACAAGCAGTTGCAGATGTCGACAACTACAAAAGGTTCGCAGATGCAGAGGTGTATTCCATGAATGTATGAATGCAGTATTTCTGATTGTTTTCGAGAGTTATGTAGCTAAGAATCTGTTCAACATTGTAATCCTTGGTATTAAAGTATAGGAAAGTGAAGAGCTATAATAAAATGGTAGTAATTTATCTGAGCTGCCTAGTTTTGGTAATTTAATTGAATTGTCATAATTGTCGCATACGCACTCAGAGTTGTGGCATCCGCTGAACCTCAAAATGGTGTGAAAAGTCTTTTTATAGATCCCTAAAAATCTTATCCCGAAAAGATCTCCTAAGAAGTTTGATATGTATATCTATGTAAGTGTTAAATATATGCAAATAAAAATGCAAAATTAAAAATGTGAAGCCCTCTGTTGTAAATGTTGTTTTTGATCCCTTTGTCTCTTTTCACTTACTACCATTGACAAGTAGATTTAAATTGCTCCTCATTTGAGGGTAAGAGAGTCACCTTCATTTAATATGAATTTAACGAGAAAGATTTGCATGACTCGTCAATTTCCCTCTATTGGGTGCCGGAACAACCCTGAAATCTTTTGTCTTCAACAACAAACAGGTGTCACGTAGTTCTGTAGATCTTCATACCAATTATTGTCACCTTACTTGCAAGTTCTAATTTTTGTTTTTATCAAAAACAGTTCCCAATAACAAATCTTTGTCAAAATGCTTATCAGAATCCCGCTACGAAAAGCTTGCTGAAAAAAATTCTCCTTGTTTTAGACTAAACATCCATGCAGCACTCAATAGTTGTGTGTACTTTACAGCTGATTATAACTCCTGAGGGCTTTACCATTTTAGCTATAAAGCTTCCCACTGTTCTGCATTGATCGCAATGGTTCCCCAGGGCTGCCAGTAATGCCCATAGTCCATCTGGGACATAAGTGACTCACTTTTAACGGAACTAACTCATGCTTACATATTTTCGTGGTTCATGTAGATGTGTGTAGCTCTTTCAGAAGATTTTCTGTTTGGCTATTTCAAATGCTAGAGGAGTATGCTGGCTACCGCAGTGAGAGCTCGTTTGAATCCAATGCATTTCATTTATATGGAAAACTTATGTACATAAATACATTTGTCAAGCTCTAGCACGGGATTCGCTTAGGAGCTCATTGATTTCATTTCGTAATGTTCTCGTTTTTTGTGTTCTTTTGCTGCTTGTCTCTTTCCAAGCCCATAGACCACGCAGTTCTGGATGAACAATACAGCTGAAAAGAAACTTTCACGGATTCTTAAAGTAAGGGTTGTTAAAAGAAAGGTGGTACCTGCAAAAGTTGCAATGCAGCAGATGAATGCGCCAAAAAAGTTCCATATTTGATTGTTCTGTTGAGAGCATAGCAATTCTTTCTTTTCTGCACAGAAAGTCATATCCACCTTCTGCGAAAAAAATCAATAAATATTGCAAAATTGCCAAAAATTCTTTAGATTGCCATGGATGAAAAGGGTAACTACTTCATGGTCATATTTACCTACTTTGTTACTAAACCTGCTAACAATAGCTGGTATAAGTACTTTGAAGTCGAAACATTGCTGATCGACGAGAGCACAGAAGGAGTAAATTCCACCAATAAACAGGAAATAGACTGAAAAAAGGTACTGTTGCTTTAAGGGTGGTATAAAGGCGGTGCGAGTGGTGTGGTCTCTCGAATCATAGAGTATAATAAGGGGGAAGGGCAGTAGGAACGGTTTTGTGAAATCGATCCGCCGCACGCGGCTGCCGCGGACCTTTTGCCTCGTTATAACAGTTCTAGCGTTCTTAATACAGCTCAGTTGCTACGCGATTATTACTTATAGCATGATTCTATTGTTAGTTCTTTTGTTCCTGAATTTCTTACCTACTGCTGCATCCTGTGACATTCCTTCACGCACGGCGTCCCTCTCACCGCGACGCGACAATTTCGTTCCTACTGTACCACACCCATCATAAGGTCCCTTTCAATCAAATTCATGAAATCACGAAAAGAGTATCACAATGTTGGCGGGTACATAAAAAAACAAGGTAGTGGACCAGTAAATACAAGTAAACTGGTATAGACAAAGAGGAAACGAATAGATAAAACTAAATGTACGAAAATGGCTTCAAATATATAAATAAGTGACATTTTTCAATTGAAGGAGTGAAATAGGTTTACCTAAGGACACAGAAGAGACAAAGCACAGCATCAGGACCCATAATATGAGAAAGCCTTGAGAGCCGAATGACGACATGAACAATAGGCAGGGTGAACCGCAGTACGCAAGCATATTTGAAAATACTCGAGCTGAATAAAGCTTATATCAAGGCACAACATAGCCTTATAAATATTAAAAATAACAAGTCAAATATTTACCACATGGCCCCATTGTTTATCAAGAATCGGTACAAATCTAGGTGAAAGCGGTTTGTGGCTATCAAGCGACTGACAGTCGACTGCACCCCATCATGGACTTACTTTATGAACCGTAGCCGTATATCACCTTCCAAACCATCTTCCTAGGGATGAAATCCGACCCGCTCTAGCAGATTCCCTCCCAGATCGAGTTCCAGCCCTTTTTGGCATGGTGAGAAGAAATGTTTAGTATCGGAATATTGAGCAGCCTTTTCAGCAGCGGACAGCTGACATAACATCCACCGGCACCTGTTCTTCTTGTCACCCGCGTGCAACTGTTCAGCTACTGTTGGATGATTCTACTTGGCAAGATTACAGGTAGTCTCATAAGTACTTCAAACCGTGAACTACCTAGCACATTACACGGCTAGTGAGTTGGAGGCAAAATTTGAACCTCGGACGAGTCTGGTACCACTGCATTTTGGGTAAGTGCTGAAAACCGAAAAAAAAACTTGAATAGAATTCGTGTTACACCGCTGTACATTGTTTAGAGTTCTTATTGGAAATTTTCGTCTTCAGAGCTCGCCACTTTTTGAAATCCTGGGCCATCACAGATATGGTACTGAATTATGCTATTTCCATAAACGTTGCATTAGCCTCTGCGATGCCCTGGGGTGGTTCCTACTTATTTGATGTATGCTGGCGCCTGAGAATTTTGGTCGATTGGGGTTAAAAAAGAGTAAAAAATCTGAATAGCACTGACCAGAGGAAAATCTATTCAGTGTTCTCATAAAGCTTTTTTCACTTGAGGGCACTTGTCTAGCTACAAAGTCTATTACAACGAAGACATGCGGAAGTCATCCTGACCCATCCATATTCCACCAGACAAATTATATACGACTTAACGGCTGGCCTTTCTTCCACCTTGTGCTATACAAAACAGTAAACTACGAACAGAGTGGAACGCTGCCACTGCTGACGCACCCACGTTTTTGATGCATCGGAGGAGGCCGAGATAGATCAGGCTTACGCTCAAGAATTTGGTGAGGATTTATGGAAGGACAGTGGACGCAAGAACGATGAATCTCGAACGAAATGAACAGTCTGCACAGAGAACACGTCAAAAGTTCCAATTTTTCAATCCAGAGCCTTGCAGGCTTCCCTGGCCAGCGGAATTCGCGGAATTCAGACTGACCCCCGTGTGCACATTGTAATATTTAGGACCTTACGTCACCTACTTCGATTCAGGTAGACGATTTCGCTGTGAAAAATGTAATGTGAAGCCGTTGCGTAGATATAACTCAAAAATCCTTGAGAATGAAATGAGGAAGATGTTTCCCCTACAGAGAGTACAATTAACTTTTCAGTGATACACTCGCTCTTCACTTCATTTTCTAACTTCATGATCAGGTGAGTGTGAAGTTCTGTGACATTATCCCAGTTGGAGGAAGTGGTGTAGTGGCAAGTGGCGCACTATTACACATGCATATTCACGGGTTCAAATCCGGGATCGATATCCACCCGTGCCGACCACGCCCTTCATCTCACTGGGGTGGGGTAATTGGTACCAGACTCGTCTGGGAGGATAAAAGCACTGACTTGTACATCGGTTGGCCACCGCAACTCATTGTATAGGACATATACGCATTCAATACGTCACTACGATTCTGAATGGAAGTCGAATGCGTGGGCGCATTCCTCAGACGGGATCGACTAACGCCCAGAGACTTTATTCTTTTTCCTTTACTATCTCATCAACACCTATAGAAGAGAAAACTACGAGAAAATAGGCGAAAATAGAGAGGAACTAGAGAGAGTAGGTAGAAAGGAATTCCCAAAAAAGCGAGTATAGGGATATCGCCTGCAGGTCGAATCTCAGAGTTGGCAAGAGCGGTCCTAACATGTTCCTCTGATGCCAGCGCCCTAGTGATATAGTGTGGGCTTGAGTACCGCTTTCCGACTTATACTTTGAGCGGTTAGTACTGCAGTTATCACCAGTATTGTAACTACTTGCCAGAAACTGTGCGTGCGTTTATACAAGCAGGTAATGGAGAATAGCAAATACTCACCAGATGCAAGATAAATGAATAACAGATAGAGGATTACTGCAGCAGTAATAATAAAAACAATAGCTTGCAAAAAATTTGAACTAAAATCACCGATAGAAACGAATGCGTTGACCTGAAACAGTAATTTTTAGTTGTCCCGCTAACGGTTCCAATATGACACACAAAAAATGTACTAACTTGTTAAATCACATTAAACAACCTTCACATATACTTGTTGAGGATTAAGGTAAAAATCAATTAGGTTATCAAAAATAATTATTTGTTCATAGAAGGCCTTAAGATGGGCTTCATTTGAAGTGACGGAGAACATTTCACAGGTAAACTCAAGCAGAGGCACAGAATATGGCCCAGTAAGAGCAGACTATGAGAAAACTAATCATTTATGGTATTTAAATAAGTAAGTATAGTAAAAACAGTATTAAGGAGGTCCAACGGGAAAAATCAATATTCATAGTTTGTCAGCTATACATAAAAGGATTCTCGAAATCTGGATAGGATATCAGAAAAACCGCCAGCTCATTTATTTGTAATAAATTTGAGTACGAATCCCTTGAGCTGTCCGCTCCCTTTGAAAAAATGAAAACAATAGAATATTATAAATAATTGTATAAGGGCAGCAAGAATCTGGGACCACATCAACTGGGAGTATATGGGCCTCTTACTTTAGCAAAATCGGTGATGTATTTTTCTCAAAGAAATTCTACTTATGGAATTATTATAACGAATGGTTACATCCAATGACATTCTTTGGGATCTTTTTTGATCAAAATCGAGATTTAAGAACGCTAAGTTTTGTTAAATGACATCTGCAGGAAACAATTTTGTTATTCTACGGTAATATAATTGTTTACTTTTCAATTTTATACTTTATATCAGACTTTGAGTCACGCGGTTGTAAATGGTTTCACCCGCAAACACGATAATACAGCTGCAAATTAGTACCTGCTTAGAGAAACCGCTTAGAGCTTTCTGGAAGAGTATACTGTATCCCAGACAAGCAATAAGAGCCACTATTGTGGCTAAACCAGTAATCCATGCAGATACAGGGGGCTTCATCTTCTGAACGATACACAAAAGTGTACCAGTTATAATAAAAATAATGTGAGTAATCATAAAAATGGAAAACACAGTGGCGCGATTGCCATGAGAGAGAAGTCTGTGTGTGTGAGCGATGGTATGGCCATTGTGCGATGCGCAGCAAAGGAATCCATAGAGGCAGAGGTGTAATTTGTACGAGAAAAGTGAGTGCTATCGAAAAAATAGAGGAGAAACCAAGCTTCGGACCTAACGCCCCCTGACGTCACTCCCAAAAATAAGCAAAAAATTGGTCACAAACGGTCGTCGAGGTAACCAACGACAAAAATATGTTTTTCACCGATTTGTGGGGTAACGTACGATCGACGTGTGATGAGAAAGATGGATGTGTCTGGGAGATGAGCTGCTAAGCTGTAAATATCGGCTTAATTTGTTATTGGAAATAGTATTGATGGCCAAAGTTGAGATAATGATGTATGATGATGATGCACATTGAGCGGAACTTTTAATGAATCGATACTTACAGCGAATTCCGGTTTTCTGTCGTGCGTTTCGTGAAGAAGACGAGATTCTGCATCTTTTGACATTTGTAGCTTCACGGTAAACAGACCACCGGTGAAGTTCTTGTCAGTGATAGTACCGATATAATGGCGACACACATTCGTATCCCAGTAGACAACACTCAGCCGACGATCGATAGTCGCTGGGTGGCCCAACAAAAGAACACCACGTGCGGTAAATCACTAGCAAAGTGGAACCGGAAATTTTTGATCTTACAAAAATCTAGTGAAATCACCAAATATCACATGGAACAAACCTGCTTGAAGCCTTTTTAAAGGCTACACGGCTGCCTTCAACTTTACTCAACTTTATCGGGCTACAAGTATAACTTTAATGGCTTCTTATATTAAGAAAAAAAGTGCATTCTAATCTTTCACTTCGGCAGCGTTCTTATCCGATACCAAAGATAGTATGCAAATAGAAATGATTATTCATGAAATCGAATGGCTATAACTACTAAGTAAACAAAACAGATGTTACGACTACAAAGTAAACAAAGTCAAATGTTCTTAAGATTACGATTTGGAACCCGTCCTCTGACCCTATTTCCGCCCTCTTTCCGTCTTCTCGAGTAATTTTCTCAAAGCCAGCTTGTTCTTATGTTAGATTAACAACACCCTCTAATTACGGATACAGCTCTTGAAACAGGATATTTTCGCTCGAAAAAAGGAAATCTCTAAAGGAATTTCTTATACTTCCGCAGTGCAAGTGCTTGAAGTCTTCAAACTAGGTAAAGGTAAGTAAGGATTGAATTGTGACAGCAGCAGGAGCTGGAGACGATGGTGGTGGATTGGAGGAACTCATTTGTGAAGGAAATACTGATTGGAATTGTTTTGATTTGATTCGATTTATTACATGTTGAGCAACATGTGGTAACAGATAATCAAACAAAAAAACCAACACAACTTTACAAAATGAAACTGATAACAGTAGAAAACATAAATCTCAGCGAGATACATGGAGTTAGCGGGAAACAGAGCATTTGAATTTTCTAAATCAGGTCGAAAGTTGAACAGCCCTGCACATCCTTGTGTACTCCATCCAACTCGAAGAGTGAAAAACTCGCGACCCACCGATGACCTAGGAAGCCGAAAGGAGAGCCTGAACTTGTCATCTCTAGTCCTAGTCAGGATCATTTGAAAGAAGAGATGACTATTCAAGTTGATTCGGTTGTTGATGATGTTATACACCATCAAAACGTCATTAACCCTCCTCCTCAAATCAAGTGAGTTTAAATTGAGCATTTTGTTGCTGAAGACATCTTTGGATATACTGCTATAAATGAACCCTAACGATCTAATGAGCAACCTTCAATGAATTGTAAGAAGATAAAAATATTTTTTCAAAGTAATGAACATTTCAATTTTTTAAGGGAGTAAGCAAATGCCATTAAATATAGTAATAGAAAAATCAATAAATAATACAAGTTTGCGACAGAGAGAGAACACCTACGTGTTTCTGACTAGAGTAAGAGGAAGTTCAGTTGACGTGGCGAAGAAATAAAATAGACTTCACATAGGTTTGTTCGTGCTCGTTTACTTGTGATGAAGAGGTTATAAAGAGGTTTTCAAGTGAACGTTTGCGAGAGAAGTTCCCTTTTGTTGATATGCCGTCCATTAGCTTTCTGGTCGTTGATCATTTTTCGATCTCATCTGTAATATTAAAGAAGGGTGTGGTGCAGTAGGAATGAAACTTATCGCGTCGCGGCGAGAGACGTCGCGCGCGAAGGAATGTAGCAGAGTGCAGCAGCAAGTAAGAAATACAGGAATACAAGAACTGACACTAGAATCATGATAAAAGTAATGATCGCATAGCGATTGAGCTGTATGAAGTACGCTAGAACTGTTATAAGGAGGTAAATGGTTCGCGACAGCCGTGTGCGGCGGATCGATTACACAAAACCGTTCCCTACTGCCCGTTACTCATTAAAGAAAGCTGGTGAAATTGTGTTCACATCTGGATATGGGAACCGCTCTCAAAATTCCTCCCCTTCGCCAAGTAAGAACGTAAGGCAAATGCCTTAGCTAAACCAAGATACTGATGTATGTAGGTGGAAAATTTGATCGTTTTCATATGAAGGGGCCTGCCAACAGCGATTCGTTCCTAACACAATTCCTGATTACTAAAAAAAGCGACTTCATGAATGTAGGACGTACAACCGGAGAGCCACTATAATGCTTGAAGAACTTAAAGGTAGCCTTTCAAGTTATGAACTTCCATTAAAAGGCCAACATTGTAATTGTTGATTGCACAGGTTAACACCCATGCTAAAGTAGCGAAAAGTATAAACACCCAGAAGTAACGAACAAGAGGACATTTCCTCGGCAATCTAAAGTTCACTAAATTCACTTGATCTGTTTAAAATATGTACAGTGTTAGATTACTTCATCCGGTTTTTACTTTACTAGACTGAGGTTCCTGCAATACTTGGGAGTTTAAATCAAAAAAAGTATTACTCACATCTATCGCGCTGGATAAATAGTTGCCCGGCCATATCTAGCGACAAAATTCAACGCATGCTCTTTGTTTTTTCGACAAACTCCAAGAATTTTCGTTTGAAGGGCTGTGGGGATACTGTTTTTCTAATAAAAAGAACTTCCGGAGTTTCAGATCCACGCAAAGTGAAATAAAAACAAGTGGTAATACGAAATTTTGATGAGATTGTGGTGAAAGGCGGCGCTGGTAGCCTTCCCGTAGTCTTCAAAAAATAAAGTATCAGATTGGCAAATATGTCCTGCGGCAAAATGGAGACCTTTTTTGAATCATTTCTAAATTTTTTTGATATCAATCAAGGAAGTCAACAACCTTCTTTTATTCTTTGAGCCAACCACTGATGCCATCTCTTCAGGAGTGAGGGATCTGTGACTCAAAGAAGTAATTGACTGCCGTTTTTTGATCACATTAAGTTACGAATTTCCTTTACACAACGGGATGCTCAAAAAGGCGGAGCCCATGGTAGTTAAAAGGGGAGTACGACTGATGAGTAACCTGGAACCAAGCGGGATCGGAGAACTTATGACGTGGGTCTAAAGCGGATTTCGACGTGCGTTGTCCCTCTGTAGGGACTTGATTTAAGGTTTTGATCGTCCTTCTCTAACCCCCTTGGCTAATAAAGGGGATCATAGTGGCAAGCGATAGCTGTGTCCATCTAGTTTCGTTTAGCAACTTATATTGGATGGATCCCTCCAAGCTCCATTGAATCAAGGGACGATGCTTGCGGTACTCCGAAGGCTAGTATCTTCTGTAGTGAAGCGATCCAACCGATTGTTGACCGTTGATCGGTGAGCAGTGCCAGCATTGATTAGGTTGCTGATAATTTGAGCTGCTATATCCGCGTTTTTCCCTTGGCGTGCTTAGAAGAAAGTTATGGTACGAATCGGGTGTTGTCCATTCATTGACGGTAATGCTGCGAAAACCCACACGGGTACCCTTATTTGCTCGTGTGTTGGTTGCCCGGAAAACGTCCTACAAGTTTATCACCCTTGCTGCCGTGTTCACACTGTTGATACAAATTTTCAACGCTTCAAATTGTTTGTCGCAGGGCTTTTGTCAACCTAATAAAAAAGGTTCCAAGGACCTTTCATTCAAAGAAAATTTCATGAGGCTGACGTGGAAATAAAAGGTGAGTTCGTTTCCTTTGTTTGGTGGGATACAGGTTGATGTCCTGTCCTCCAGAAGAGCCAAATGCGAATTATCGGTAAATGATATAACAGTGGTGAGATCACCCTGCTCCTAAGCAGTTTCACTAGCCCTTTTTTAGCATTTTTTTCATTTCTTAAATTCATGGGGAAACCTGACTCTGTTTTCAATTTTGTAACGTTGGGGCTCAACAGTTCCTACTAGGTTCTTTTTTTATTTTTTGGCCAGATGTGGCGCAATGGCAAATGGCGCACTATCACACACATACATACATGGTACAGTGATCGGATCTCCGAATTATATTCGTTCAGGTCAACCAATCTTCCATACCTACGGAGTAACTTAATTGGTGCCAGACTGGTCTGGGAGGATAAATAGACTGACTTGCACGTTGGCTGGCAACAAACCATAGTCAGGTTATTATGTATATAGGCCACATACACATTCAAACGTCTTTACGATAGGAGTGAAAGTCAAACACAGGGGTGCATCCCAGAAACGGGATTAACCAACGTCAAAAGGCCTAATCCATGATCTTTTCCCACGTTCAACTTGTTCATTTTCTGGATACAGTGTACCTCGTGCTCTGTTACTTTTAGAGATTGACTTCCGATGTATCGGTTTCAAGTACGTATTGTGGAACGTCAAGTACATTATATCATGTTGTTGCATAGTTGTTGTTCGGAAAATTCTATTTGAAAAAAACCATAAAAACATTTTACAAAGACACGTTCAAATAATTACTCCGCAACATATCTACCATCTTCGTCAAGCACTTCTTTTCCCATTTGCTAGGCAGTCTGGTTCCACAGGCAGGAAGTTTTGATTCTTGGAGGCGATCCACGCCTTGACATCGGCCATCAAGCCATCCACTTCATCGGAAATTCTGTTCGTTGGCCAAATTTTCAACGGACGATTGACGTGATAATCCATAGGAGTTTCTGCTGGTGAATGGGGCGACCGTAGCAGCAGATTCCATTCCTTATTCGGCTCTGGCTGACTGTTCCATCGCCGATTGAGATCACTCCATGACTGTGCCACCTTCCAACCTTTCTCGAAGTGATAGAGCATAATGTGGCGTATATGAAGAGGACTTCTTAGACATATTTTAACTAAGGAAAGCAGGAAGATTATTGGGTTGATGCATAATTATTGCGGGGGTTTCGCGGCTTTTTTTCTCTCAATAGAATTTGAATATTAAGTTCGCGTTTTTTAAGAGATGATCTGATTGATTTCATCGACAAAGATGTACTTAGGAAACCATCCGCATATTCGCGAAATCAGGCTTTACTACTTCAAGAAAGGTTGGAAGGTGGCAGAGTCATTCTGCGATCCCAGTAACTTTGCAGCGATGGAACAACCAGCCAAAGTCAACCAAGAAATGGGATCTGCTCCTAATTCTGCCATATTCACCGACAGGAACTTCCACGGATTATCTCGTCAACCGTTCGCTGATAAAATTGTTAGGGAATAGAAGTTACGTCGACTTAGAAGACTTGCTAATGTCAAGGCGTGTATCGCCCGCAAGGATCAAAACTTCCTCGCTTTTGGAATCGGACTATCTAGCCAATGGGAGGCAGTGCTTGATGTAGATGGTGGATAAGTTCTGAAGTAGTCATTTAAACATGTTTTTGTCATATTTTTGTCGTTTCATTAAATAAAATTTGTTGAAAAATCCGCAATAATAGTGCATCAACCTTTTACTTACAATTAGACAATCATTGATAAACATGTCCCCCAACTCTTTTATTATAATGTATTTGCCTGTTCGTACTCCGACGGGACATTAAGTAAACCAGTGCTTAGGGTGAGAAAACATGGTTCAATTTGGCTTTTTCCACTCGATCAGAACCACTGGGATATATCTCAAAGGTAACGAAAGTGCCAAGCCGAGTTATTGCAGGAATCACTGGTGACATTCGAGGCCGTTTCTGAGCCCTTAACTTTCTAATAAATTTGAACTCAATTTCGGTGTTGTAAAACATAGAGATAAACTGCTTTCTAAGTTTTGATGAGAAGTCATTGCTAATACATACTCATTACTAATGCTTACATTACATCACCAGAAATCGTTTCGGGAATTTTTACGAGCTTTGCATTTGGTCATTCTAATGACGACCGTCTTTTCAAAATATCTCATTTTTTGAAGTTGTTCAACGAACAAAAAATTCACCAAGGTAGTGTACTCCTTCGACAAAAACACCTTTACTTGCAATTTAGAAGATTTTGTAGGACCATGCTGTATGTAAATTCATTCAGGCCTGATGTAATGTTTTGAGAAGAAGGATTGAAAGAAAGTGGAAACTTAGATGAATAAAATAAAAAATACAAAAAACACAGAACAAAAATTTTTATTTAACCCACTGACAACCATGCAGCCCACATGTGGACTGCATGGTCGTCATGGGTTAAATAAAAATCACATTCTCGAGTACAATGTAGCCCTCCAATTTTACACAGAAATCTCATCACTTCTTTTTTTTTCGGATCAACATTGTCATCAATTTGAGTTGCCCACGATTATCGGACTCCTCGTTACAGTTGTCCCGTCTCAGCTGCTGAAGGGTGTGAGGTTATTCCTGTCATCCTTAATAGTTTTGTTCTTGTATTGTTGAAGCTACTGCCAGCAGTTAATTGAAGTTCATACATATGTGTTGTATACATGAAGTCGGTCTCTGTACATAAGCCCAAGAGCTATCCACGGCAGCCGTTTGTGGGCAAATTTATGCTGATTACAAAATTGAAGCGAAAGAGCACAATTAAAACTTTCACAAAATTAGGTTTCTGCATGCAAGTGGTGCAGTAGGAACGAAACTGGCGCGTCGGGGCGAATGGGGCGTCGTGCGAGAAGGATTAGCAGAATGCAGCAGCAGCTAAGAAGTTCAGGAAGAAAAGAACTAACATTAGAATCATGCCAAAAGTAATAATGGCCATCGATTGAGTTGTATGAAGAAAGCTAGAACTGTAATAACGAAGCAAATGGTCCGCGACTGTCGCGTGCGCGCCGAATCGATTACACAAAACCGTTAATGCTACCCCTCTCCTGCAAGCAAGGTACTCCATGAAATACCTATGAGCACTGATGCGTCTTTTATGTTTCAAGAACTTTTCGCCAAAATCAGTGCTGTTGTGCAAGGCTGTGGAAGTGTCTAGGCTTTCTTGTTTAACACAAATTTTGACTGCTGGCGCAATCCAATCTGGCCTAATAAGAGTTACTTACAATAAACGATGGATATGCACATAATCCGACTTAAAACGTATTAGTTCTGCCTCTGAAAAGTTTGGGTGAGAGTATTTCGCCCATATTCCCACGGCAAGCGGCAGTGCTTAATCAGCGGCCACCGTGTCCTTCCACTGGTAGGCCGCGACTGCGGTGATCGGATGCGGTGAACACCAAACGATTTTCGGGGAGAGGTACCCACACCCGTACTGTTAGGTACTGTTAGTAGTCGGTATACACGGTAGATATTCGTCAAAGTTACCATTTACACTGCGAAACGGGAGGTCATTTCCGCCTTCCATAATTCGAAAAACTGCTGAGAAACAGTCCACTAGTAGAAATCTCACCCATAGAATATGATTTTTCCAGTTCTTTCTACTGGCGCATTCAATTGAGGGTATAAAAAAGTAAATAAATAAAATAATTCAGGTTACTAATTACGTACACGTCATGAGAACGACCAGAAAGACCGAGCTGGCGCAAGAGGTACTAAAGCGGCTTGAATTCCCAATTCCTAATTCACTCCGATCAGCCAAAGTCCCTCTGAGTTCAACAGGGCAACAAATCGATTCCCCTCATTATAGGGAGATGTCAGGAGAATAAGTAATGGGCAGTTATTGTATTTGATTGCATATATTAGAACCAAGTCCTTTTAGACGGTTTGCTTAGCCTGATCAAAAATCAAGAGCTCGGTTCTTCTTAAACGGATTGAAAATTTTGTCCTACGTATTCAAAAGCCACCCTGAACCGGTTTGGAAGAGTTCAGTGCGTATCGCAAGCGAATTCGCCGGCACCGACTAGTTCCACCTCTGACTTTGTGATTTACCACCTTACAGTTGAAAAGTTCAGCACTTAGTATTGGAACCACTGAGAAGAATGAACTTTTCGAGAGAATGTGGTTAAACTGGTTAATTTTGAAACAAAAGTGAAGGTACTTGGAGGTTCTGCAATAGCGGCGAAACGATGGGTTGCAGAGTGGCTCAAGTGGTCCCATCATGGAATTTAGTTGACTCTCAAGTTCGCCCATCTCAATAAAACATATGTTCAGCGATTTCGATACCTGAAATCACCAAACTCTAACTTGTTTGATCTTTCCTTTTGTAGCTTCAACTTTTTGCAGCGGAACTCGACGGGAGAGTTACTGTTAAAAGAGTTACACCATAATTTTCGTGTCACAGCTTGTTCCCTTCAACCCTGTATGACAAAAGAAGTCACAACAGTTTGGCATTCAAACGATTGTTTTCGATGCTCATTCATATCACAAAGTATAACTTCGCCAAGGTCATTATTGATCGCCTTTACTTTCCAGTCTAAAGTAGGCAATCATCGAAAGTCGAAGAAATACGTGTGTACGTGCACAAAGTACGACCCCTTGAACATTTTTTCTTGGGTGTTCGCTCGGAGAGTCGAGCCATTCGATCATGTCGTACAGAGTTGTGATGGAGATTGTTCGATGGACTCTAGACCAGATTGAAATCGGTCAATTGCATACCAAAATGAAAAGAGTCACGAAGTCACACATTCTCCCAGAGTGGGTTCAAGTCTAGACATAACATTAAGGAAGTACACCACGGACAAATCGCTAATGAACAAAGAACACGACGATCACGACCACTCAGTAAACATTCGGAGAGAATGTCTCTACTTTTACACGGAGTGCCTTTGCCGATCACATGCGATTACCATTCCAATTCCGATTATCGCCAATTGAACTAACTGTGTGTTCGTTCCAAGAATATTTTGCTAGCTGAGAGCGGCGGCTACTTAAGGAAAAGCTCGAACGCCATTGCTGCTGTCTTTGAAGAATTTGCCACAAAAAACAATGAATGTTAGATTATCACTTCATTACAGAGTACAAACCACTTACTGGACTGCAATGGAATGTTCAGAAAAAGTCGTGCTTTGGTGCCGGATGTTCAACAGGTTGCACGAGAACAATAAGTATCGCCCATACCGATATTTATATGTTTATTCAGTAGTAAGAGATCTCTTTCCATAAGAACTTAGGGCTTTCTTTGGCAAACAAGTATCATTAAAAAAACTAGTAAAATTTTCCCAATAATTGTGAGAAAAAGCCTTAATACGGTTTTTTCATGCACTAGAATTTATCCAATTTCTCAGGGCCCTCAGGGTTGATGGGATTGACGCCATGAAAGTCTACCACATTCTACCGACGTAAGGATGACCCTGCCGAGGCTCGCTATTCATTACCAGAACGTTAATGCTTTTCGCTCAGATGACGGTGAAGCTTCTCCAAGTTGATTTCCAAGTTGATTGTTTATTCTAATTATTTATTCAAGTACACGGTAACGTCCAGCATATAATGCAAGTCGGAAAAGGAGGGGGTCAAAAAAGCTTCATTTTATCAGCGAGGACTAGCCATTACTGTGGAACTGCCGTTTAGATCTCTTTTCATATGGTTTATGGTTTGAAACAAATGGTTTCTTTCACTCTTCAATAAAATACGGATTAACAGGCTGTGAGGTGGGCGAAATTCAGCCGAATGGAACTTGCTAGTTGTCCTAGAAGCCTCTCAGCACATCAGCCCGTATACCGTTTAGTGAGTTTTTTTTGTTTTGCACACTTTTCAAATTACACGAAGAGACTTCCTAGTTTTTTGATTTTTGGCTACTTAGCATTCGACCTACCGACCTAAGAAGCCGTAAAAAAAATCTAGTCAAGCAGCTCTTGGAAAGTAATAGAATAGTTTTTTTTGTTAACTGGTAGAACTGACAGTAGCAACAAATCATGCTTCGAATTGTCCTTATAAAATCCATACGAACCCGATGAAACGCAGAACATGCATTTATTTCAGGTTTGCCGTTCATCTTGACCAGAAACCAATGAAAAATCGTCTCATACCCCGATAAAAATTGCATAATCTCGATGTAATTGAGAGCGGATGTCAATCTGAGACATGCCATTCACCTCATTCCGTAACAGATGAAATATTACTTTAGTTTCTCTGTAAATATAAATTATGTTTTCGAAAGTTGAGCAGTTATTTCATGAATAGTGGTGTTGTTCTTCGTAGTCCTAGTCAGTTCACTCGTCATCATCGGGTTTCAAAGAACCACCAATGATCAGCAACATGTGGGTACCCTTGTCATCATGGAAATGTCCAGGCACGCAGTCAGGAGCACCCCAGTCGTGAACGCCATTAGTCTGCTTGCAGATGGACTCGACATCGGCATAGCAATCACTCAAAGAAATTGATGAGTGCATTTTTCGAACACGTAGGAAACGAAGGATGGGATGTTTCTCTTAGAAATAGCTTCTTTTGGCTATCAGGCACGAGTCAAGTAGCAGGTGCAAGTAATGTGGTCCAGCATCCACTTCACTGTCTAAAAAACGTTTTATGAGCAGGCGTGAGAAGCCTTTGCTATTTTTGCGTCAGACTTCCCTGTCCTCCAGAAATCAGCTGGAAACAGTGTAAAAATAAATAATTTTAATCAGAAATCATTCCCCTGAGTAAGTGCATTCACCTCTTCTTCCCCGTGACCTTGGAAAATTCGGAAACGAAGAAGAAGTGAACCTTTCGGTCAAGAGCAGTAACGAAAAGATAATCATCACTTCACGATTCGATTTCGGAGGGTTGAAAAAGTGGGAACACGAAAGTAATCTACTCCATAAGAAATCATCTCCATGAGTGATGGTGAAAGAGCTTTTTTTTTGATTCCGGTTTCAAAATCTGCATTCTGCAACTTATGATACAGTTTCCAGAGAAAAAAAACCTTTTCGTTTTCCATATTATAAATTTTCAAATGTATGAAATCATACTACCGTGTATCACATCATATCATAACATATCATATCTCATCATACCATATCATGTCACTAAACTGACAATTATTACTGGTTATCATGTCATATCATACCATACGTTCCGCATTTATCAAGTTGTAGCATGTCATGCACGTGGAAAATAGCTTAATATGTATTTAGCTGGTTATAGTATCGGTGGGGAATTTTCGATGACTACAAGTGGGAAAGACTGAGACCTTGTGGAGTGAAAGTTTTGAGCGTCACTCCTCTAAAGAAATTAGCAGCAGCGTTTTTATTTACCTGTTAACTCATCTAGGTCACAGTGGTTCGCTTTCGGGAAGCACCTTGACTAGAGTAGCCTCACAATTTTTGGAAGGGCATTGTTGACAAAATTAGAAATCGAAAAGTGAAAATCACCACGTTCATAACGGGTGGATTTTCTTAAATTCCAAAAACGAATTCATTGCAGGACATTACGCACATGGTCAACTAATCAAAATACGATTGCGCCATGAGAGCCTTCCATTTCCCGAAGCCGGGTTTTTGTTAGAAGTCTTGGTCCTGGCCACTACAGTCGAGTTGAAAATTAGTCCTCCTGTAGAGAATCAATAAGGATCCAGAACACAAGTCACGGGTGCACACTCACTGGTTGCTTCAATAGCGGATCGACCCAAACCTACTTTAGGGCCTTCAACATGTTTTTGTAGGAGTGGCTAGCTTGAAGATTAGCTTTGAAGAATACCCACTGCGTATGGTTAGCTTTCTTTTAAGATGATGTTTCACTAAAGAAGACTTTTCGTATTCTGATTTGTCGTCTGGTTTAGCTGGATGTCCGTTAACCCTTCCACAAGATTACACTAAGTAATGAGCAGAAATTGGGATCTATTTGTTCCATTGTCGGCAGGTCCGTCTTTTTTAAAGGGCGGAATAAAGGGCGAAAATTCCGACGAGGAAACTAGCAGTTAGACGAAGAAGACAACCTTTTAACGACTTTTTTCGCAAGTGGTCCCAACTAATAAAATACTGCTCCTTACTCGCGTGGCATGTCGTGTGTTCATTTAAGGTAACATGGATTTCCTTCAACGGAAGATCGTTCTATGCGATTATTGCCCAAGTTGCATACTGTATTTTAAAATATGGAAACTAGAAATTGTTGTGAAGAATAGAGAGCACGGTGCCCGAAAAGTACAAGCACTGGGGTGACCGAGGTCGAAGTTTTGTCCCTGACTCCCTATCCTTGCGAGACTTTCGTCGCATCGGGCACTGCGGCAAAATGACAGCAGTTAATAAAAAGCAACAAATCAAAATATGTTGCAAAATAAATATTCGAAAAAGTTCTTTGGTGGGTTCACGGTCCATGTTATCAGCTCTGCTCAACCAGTTCTGTATTGTGGACCAGTTAAAAGAGAGAAATTAGACAGAAAATATTTTTTCTGGTTACCGATAGTATCTGATCGTGCTTTCACGATGACTCCAAGTTGCGACTGTACCAAGGGTGTGCAAAGCCTACCGAGGTGAAATGTAACTGACGGAGGGGTTGTATTCGGTCACATGCAGAAGCAGGAAGACGTATACATGCGAAAGGGATAGAGACTAATGAGGTGGTATATGTGTGGTACGGATATGTAGGGTTCCCTATTCTTGAACTTTGTTGTTTCATTAATTTGATTAATAACAGGATCAAGTTCGACGGAGATTAAAATCAATTTCATTTTTTAGGATCTTTCACATGCGCTTTTTTTGGGGGTGGTGCAGTAGGAACGAAATCGTCGCGTCGCGGCGAAAGAGGCACCGCGTTCGAAGGAATGTAACAGAATGCAGCAGCAAGTAAGAAATTCAAGAATATAAGCACTGACAGTACGATCATGCCAAAAATAATAATCGCATAGCGATCGAGCTGTATGAAGAACGTTCGAGCCGTAATAACGGCGAAACGAAGTTCGCGACAGCCGCGTGCGGCGAGTCGACCACACAAAACCGTCCGTTCCTACTGCCCGTCTCCCCTTCATTTTCAAAGATGGTCGTTTCCTCAATCACGTACTTCTACCGAAAAGCCTATTAAATTTATCAGAACTAATTTTTAGATTAGTTTATTTTTATTTTTGTTTTGAGGTCACCTTATGTTAAATTTCCTCAAGTCCTTTGTGGTGCCTTTTACATAGCAAAAGCACTCAGTTCACAAGCGTCAGGCTCCTATTGGTGACTGCGCTAAGGGACCAATCACAGGAGCGACACGCACCAACCACATGGTCACCGTAGTGTGACTGGCATTAAAGCCAGGTTTGTAATGTAAGGCCGTTTAAACAATGATTACGTATGATACACTTTATTAGATTTAATTTTTATATCACAAATTCCCGAATACTTTCAAATGACTGATCAAAGCACGAAAATGACACGGGGTTTGAGAGCAATGTGTTCGCGCAGTACGGACGGTTATACCACCAATGGAAAGAGTGTATGACAGAGAAACATTATTCGAATTACGAATGATATTTACATACACTTACGTATACGTATATGTACGTATGGACAGTAATAAAATACATATATAATGCGAAATAGGCAAAATCCCAGAATGAATGGGTGAAAGAACGGGAACTGATGATCGGCCGTGAGTGGGTTGGGGGAAGATGTGGGAATATATTGAGGATGATGCATATAGTACGCAACTTACACACAAACACTGACAGAAGCATACGCAGCGCAGCACGCACGGCAGCGACGCGTTGCAGATGATGGATGGATGGATGGATGGATGGATGGATGGTAAACAAATAAACAATCAAACAATCAAATAAACAAAAACATAGTTCTACCCTTAGTCGGTGAAAGTGTGTCTATGAGAGGGTCACAGCGGTATGAACCGAATGGAAAAGCTGAGCAAGAGCGAGCATCTATACCACGAAAGTAATGTAAATTGATGAATAAATGAATCAGTAATGAAGGGTACGGAATATACCGTATTATCTCTACGTATCATCATTTACTGTATAATAATTCATCGAGGCAATGTCAAAATGTATTGTTGGGATGGTGGCGGGGAAGACCGAACGAATAAAAGTAACTATGGCCGGTGGAATATAATAAAATATAACAAAAAAAGCTTGATACACAATTTGAAAAACAACTAATCGCATCTCAACTGGTGTGTGTAATGACCCGCAACCGAAGAGCACAATAGAACATCTGACTGATTGCATTCGGATAGATTTACTTTAATAAAGAAAAAATGGCTAAATTGCCTGTGGCCGACTAATTCAGAATTCCTTTAACAGTAATTCGTCTAGTAACGGATCAACTCCAAGTGAGATATCTTTGCTGAATTGTAACAGGCCGGTTAACGTTGACGCCACTTTCTGAAACAAGTAGTTATCACTAGAAAGTACTGCAGTAATGCTGCGTATTGACTAATTTTCTGCAATATCCTTCAAATGTCAGGTGAATTTTTTGGACATTACAACTAAACGCATAAATCAACCATGCGCAACGCGACATACCAACAGGGAAGATCGACGTTCGTCGCAAATACCGTCTGTCAACGTCCGTCCGACAACTTCTCCTTCCGTTCATTTCCAAAATCAGTCAAGCGATGCGGTTATTACTTTTGGCATGATTCTACTATTACTTCTTTTGTCCCTGTCTTTCTTTCATGCTGTGCATTCTGCTACATTCCTTCGCGCGCGGCGCCCCTCTCGCCCCGACGCGACAATTTCGTTCCTACTGGACCACCTAACAAACTACTGCAACAAGACACGGTAACTGACCGTAACCGACGCAATCAGTAGTAATAGATGGCCGAAACGAGCGGTCGCCTCTGATGGAGGATATCGTACCATCAAATGTGAGAAGAGAGCATTCTGCACAGATTCACGGCCAACTAAAAAGAAATTCATTACTGAATTACGGTCAGTACGTCCAAATACCTACTTTTTGAAAATACTGATTGACTAACCGAGTAAATGTCCAGAGGACTTCATCGATAAGCCTTTTACATTGGGATCCAATGCCATAATTGCCTTTAAGGCTAATAATTCCGTTTCAGTGACGTGCAACTTTCGCAGTTGATGCATAACTTGATCGACCAATGCTCGACGTACACTTCTGAAAAAGTATAACCACTTAAATAAGTCAAATTCATTGGAATTTCCAGTTTGAAATTGGCCCTACGAAGGGAAATGATTCCTCTTTAAGTGAGAAATATCCCGAAAATTAAATTTTTGATAAAACGGCTGTTTGCAGTAGAAGTAAGAAATGAGTTTGCGATGCATATTTAGGGCTTTGGATAGCTCTCTCCCGATACTACAAACCGCTGTGCCAGCAGTTTTACAGAGGAAATGGTCGAATCTTCTAGGAAACGTAAATTTCCCTCAGCGACCATAAACCTTATTATTTCCACTTTTCAGCTTTCAACAAAGCTATTGAATAAGTTGAATAGTAAATCACCCCCACAGATATCTCAGCATCTGTGATGACTTTCCATGAGAGGCTTTCAATGACCGGGGCTGGACCAGACGAAAGCACACATCGCACGCGATAGCCGCGCGCGACGATACATCAAGTGCGAACGCTAATCATTGGGCTCGTGCTTGCTTAAAGTACGCGATCTTTGGTCATTACGGCGGCGTCTATGTCGCACTCTCTCACTTTCGACCGCGCTCTCTCCCACATCATCCTGCAAAGCGCAGCCACGACGCATCATCACAGACTCGACAGCTATACGAAAGCCCGGACCAGATTTTCAAAGCACCAGATAGATCCTGATCCGTCGTTCATTCCTCTTCCACCCTTAGTAGCTACCTAGCAGCACGGTTGACCGTCGGTGGCCGAAATGTCTGCGACCTCGCCGACGCCACCGAAACAGCGCTGACGGTATCCGTTTCGGGAGCCGGCGCGATAACCGGTTCCTGTTGGTGGCGACCAATGGCCGCGATCGCTGATTGTCATCTGGTTCCTCATTGACGGATCGTCGGCGATGCTGAACACTGACCAGCGCCCAGGCGATGAGAATCGCGCACTTCAGGCACCCAATGCAAATATGCGTTGACCATCTGACAGGTGACATCACCCTCCCGCCGCTTTCATCCACCCGCACACATTTGTCGATGTTTGATAGGCGCTAGGTGTCTACGCTTGCTATCATTGCCCATGCTTCCAACTGAGATTTTGAGATTGTACTAGTTAGGTGGAAAACCCCATTGAGGTTATTTTCCTCTATAAAGAATTGAAGAAATGGAACGCGCAGCGATGTATTGACCCCGTTCTGAAAGATTATCGCTCTGATCACAAGATCATTGAACGAAAATCACACACACAGCAAAGGCCGAATCGGGCCTGACGATCAGCATGTGCATCTCTACCGTGACGTGCTGAGATGCACAGAGATCAGTGATGAGACGTGAAACCAGCGCCGACGACGCCACTATAACCGGCGCCAGGGACAGCCCCACCAGCCACCACCGCCGCCGACGCATACGCCTGACCAGAGATCGGACCAGAAGTCAGAAATTGACTCACTCGCATTTGGCGATCATCAGAAGGTGTCGTTTGTCGTCGTCGAGAACAGATGTGAACAGCGACATGTCCGATGGTAATGTATGGCCAGATGGTAGCACGATCGCATCGGAATCGTTCTTTGATGAGTGAAAACACAACATAAGCAATGCAAACGGTGTGATACAGTTACGAATCAATGCGATCTGAAACGAGAACAGTTCTTTAAACAAAGAAAATCTACTAATAATCATTAATATCTTGTATTCCTGGTGAAATACGCCACTGAAAACTACCCAGACAACAGCTCTGACGCTCCCATAGGCCTAGCATGGGACACCCGTCGAGGACCGAACTTTGATTTCTTGGTGTTCCATCTGATCTAATAGGTCTTCCTTGGAATGATTTATTCAACAGCCCCGTCATAGCGCTATTAAAACGAATATTATGATGTGACGTGGTTCCCACGAAGGACGAAGAAATGTGGGGAGAGAGAAAAGAAGTTCGGGCTTCGAACTTTCTCATCACCAGGTTTCTTATTGTGTAGCGGGTGAGTCAGACCAATCTTCAAGGCCAGTTGCCCTTTTCTGTTGCAAGCGGTAATGAATCCTGACATTCAACTGTGAAGGATCAAAAAAAAAGTTGTCCTTGGTGGAATTCTCTGAAGCATTCCAAATGAGTTTAGGTGATGGTCAATTCATGAAGGAAAGTTGTTCTAGTTCTGGGGAATGTATTGTTTTTTTCCCGAGTTCGAAGCCTCAAACCCAGTTGACCTTTCTGATTCTTGGCCGAACTCAGTAATGGTCCAAAAGATCGATATGTATGAATTGCTTTGGAGGAGAGAAAACTAAACTTTTGAGATCGTGTCTTATCATCAAAAAGCATGTTGCAGACAGTCACCGAACGAACTTGTCGAAAAATGAGCTTATGATTCGAAAAGTACGTTCCCCCCCCAGTTCCATTAGTCCCCTGGTCTACCCTAACGGAGACCAATTCCTCCATTTCAACACGCCCCTACACTTCCTCGTCCGTTTGCAGCGGTCCTTGCTTTGCCGGCGAACGCCTGGTCGTTATCCAAACAACAGAATACACTTTATGTTTGAACAGAGACTGAACAGGCCAGAACTGCTCTGATGGAAAAAAAGTAGGAAAAAGCCGAAAAACGCCTACAGAACGATACCTTTTCCTCGGGTTGTATGTCGGCAATCGGTTTTAACGTGTTCGCATAATCAAACACAAGCACTGTCATCCTTCGGACGTTCTCCGCAATTGACGTCAAACTCGCTGGACCATTCAGGGCTTCGAATACCACCTGAATAGAAGCGAAATGACGTTAACACCAAAAACATCGCAGTATAGGGGCAAATGTTTTCTTTGATCGCCGCGTTGGCTAAGTAAGTTTCGTGTTCTCTTATGTGCACTGATTCAGATTAATCCCTGTCTGGCTTGCATGAAAACAACTGCTCTAAGGTACAAAAGTGGTAAGGCGAAACCCGAGCTCCAAAGCGAATGAGCTGCAGCAAGATGTTTTTTGTCCTTCCCTGCACGTCCTTCCTGTTTGTCACTTCTAATGTCAGTGAACATAAACATGCTATGTGTTCAAAAATCTAGTAAATGCATGTCTGGATGAAGAACAGAGAATTCTTTACGAAACTCCTCCCACCTGAGATCTGGGGGTTATCAAGGACGGTCGATGAACACAATCCAAGAGGGTTGGTCGAGCCATTGGTGACACTGGAGCTACATCACGTAATTGTAAGCAGATCTGCTCGATTTCTCTCAAAGTCGTTAGGATCTCGTCACATGGACTGGGTCGGACGTCAACAGCCGGTGCAGATTCGGCACGTGATGATGGCGATGTTGGATTATCGTCGGAATCGTCCTAAAAGCAAATGGATGTATGACAATTGTACATGGTCATAGTCCATCTGTAACTGTCTGTCCAAGTTACGATATCCAAATACGGTAAGTGTAAATACTTCCGGTATCTCACCCTCTTATTCACACACGGTAAGTCGCCGAACATCGATGCGCCCGAGAGTTTTTTCACGACGGCTGGGTCGAGGCCGTTGATCAGATGAGTGCCATTTCTTCTGGGATTCTTTTGCCGACCTGTTTTATCTCGATCGGGTCTGATTGCTAGAAATCATTGTCATTAATGAATGGATTGTGACAGAAAGTACGAATTTGGCTCTAGTCCTACACGAAAGGTCAATAGGTAGTGTGTACTGTATCTATGTAAGTGATTAGCTGAACACACTCACTTATAGTCTTATCACATAATCATGTGATAGGAATTGCGTATACAGTGTGTTTCAAAAGTATGTGCACACCCAACATTTTGTTTTTTTTGGGGATACCATTGCTTCCTGTAACCTGTGACCTTCACCATTCGATTCCTTGTGTGCGATAACCTACGACCACTTTCCCTGAGAAAACATCGTAGCTGTTAGCAAAAT